ATTAATTGATGACTGATTATAAATGAGTGATTAATGATTATTTAATTGGTTAATTCTTAATAAATAATTCATTGATTGTTAAAATTTATGGGAAAGAATGGTGGAACTTACTACTTTTGTGGCATAGACATTTCGCTTTTTAAGTTTATTTTTCACAGTGTCCACCCAATAATTTTTTGCTTCTGCCGTCCATTCAGGATGTTCCGTGTGGATTCATTCTCATTCACTATGTAGTTGTGGCCCGTTTTTATTTTCTTTAAAACAACTTATAATACATAATAATGTAAGCACACATTTTCCATTCAAAGCAATTAGCATTTTCCAGATTTATTTGCTGTGATATACACATAGAAGCAGTAAAGTATTGATTTCTATCAAATCATCAGCATTTTCCTCAAGTCAGTTTCAATTGCAGTCATTACACATAAAGGCAGTAAAGTATTGATTTCTATCCAACATGCTGCTAGAATTCCAAGAGAAGTGACATCTTGCTCCATAAGTAACTCTGTCAACGTGGGGACATCAATATCTTTCCAGCTGTGTTTGGCATGTAAAATGTGTAAAAAGAGTCCAATAGGGGCTGAAAATAAATCAACCAGATAGATTAGAACAGAACCAGGTACAGAATATGCTTCAAATAGGGGGGGGGGGGGGGGCAAACTCAAGAAAAAATATCAAAATTTCAAAAATGAAATTTCTTTCAGGTGAATTAATGCTTGAATTTTGTCTTTCATTCATTTATGTCACAAATTTCTATTTCTATATTTTTTAACTCTAAAGAGGGAGATGACTAGCTACCCTAATCACAACCTAGATCAGCCCTTACGAAGGACCCCATAGCTTAAGACATAATATGCCTCATTGATATTTCTTTGATATAAAGTTTGATCAGATTCTAACTTACCATGCGATACAATTGAGTCAGGTTTTTTATTTACTTTGCCACATAACACCTTGTTCATCTCTCTTTCAATCTTCTCGTGTTTCTTTCGTTTAGCATTTTCAATGTACTCCTCTGATGCTTTGAGAGTACAATTGAGAATCTCAAAGATTTGTAGCTCAGTCTCCACATCAGGACCAGGGTTATTGGGGCAGTAGTTGGCTACAAAGAAGGTGTCGGTGAGTGAGCTTCCTGTTGCTGCGGCAGCACATTGTAGTGCGTTAGTGCATTCTTGTTTATTGTTCAGGGTGTCTTTGTGAGTAACAACAGTTACTGGACACATTCCTGGAAAAAGTAAGAATATCAATTTGAAAATAGCATAATGCTTGGTTGACTGTGATTAAATTTGGTCAACAATTCAATAATTTTGCTATGTAAACTTATTTCTTAACAAATCTTTCATAATTATACAACAATGCCAGCAGCAACATAAAGTGAAAATAAATGAATGAGAAAATGAATGAATGGATGGATGGAGTAAATAAATGAAATCCTCATGAGCAATTTGAATGTCAATAGGGACTGCAGAGTGGGAGGAAGGGTGGTCTTAAGGATCTGCCAAGCCTCTTTGATGGCTTTGGAAAATTTAAATTTACCTGCCCACTCTATTTAGCGTACTCTGCAGTGCACGCTATATCAAATCATTGATAATGGAGTTGTAAGGATTTCCCTACCTACAGAATGCAGAATATCACGGACAGGCTTGAGGTACATCTCTAGCGATCCATTCTTAAGCCTTATGTCATTAGCTTTCACGACTAGTATGACTGCATGTAACCAATCTTCAAAAGGTACATCCTTCTTCTTTGCTGGAGACTTGTAGTTTAGTCGGTCACTCCCTCTCTTAATGACATCACCCGACTTAATCCTACCGTAAAGAATGTCATTCATTTCCCTGCCCTCATGGTGGTCGTAGCTGAAAAAACCCCGGGTATCGACCAGTCGGAAAAACATCTCAGTTAAGTAGTCTTCCAGAATGATAGTCCCTTCAGAACCAGTCGTTGCAATTGGAACAGAGCCCTTGTCTGTTTGTCGCACTGTTCGCTCGCATGTATTGATAAAACAGCTCTTTCCAGATCCGGTTGGGCCAAACACACCTATGCGAAGCTTTTTAAATTCGCTAGMTTGGATTTGAACATTCCTCAAGCCAGTCATGCAGCCAAGTTTGTAATCAAACAATGACCGGCGTTGTTTTGATGCCCTCTCTTGCAAAACTCTCAACCTCTGTCTTTCACGCTCTAAACGTTCGTTTTCGATTCTTTTTMTTTCTTCCTCGGCTCTTCTGATCCGCTCTTGTTCCTCCAGAAATCGCTGCCTTTCGATTGCTGCGCGAGCTTCCGTTTCTCGCTGAATTCGTTRTAATTCTGCGATCTCTCTTTGTCGTCTTTCCTCRGCCATTCGTTGTTCTTCCCTTCGTTGTGCYTCTCTGATTATTTCGGCTGTACGGTCGATRTAATTAAAGTGAGTTTCATGATGGCTTCCACCGCCCTTGAGAAAAACAAAACAAAAACGAAGCAAAAACCGAGTCAGCAAATATCAAAAGGTATTATATTCTTACTGCCTAAATACATGCTTACAGTATACAGTATACGCATTTAAAGTATAAATATATATGTCTTAGATAAAATTGTAAAATTTGACATTAATAAAAGTCTGTAAAAGAAGCCAAATTCAAATAAATCAAATATAGAAACCTAATGTCTTACCCCCATGACGAACGTGGTTTTGTTGCAATTATTCAAAGCTCGATGTCTTCGAATAGTTCACAAATAACTCCAAATATATCTGTATTTAAATTTGCTTTGTCACGGTCCGCACGTGGCGAAATTCCCCTCGGAGTATGCTCAGTACAACACATCAAAATTCATCATTTCGATGGAATAAGAAGTGAAAATTTCCCGAAAGGTCAAGCGCTACCACTATCAAAACATCGCTTCGAAATTACGTCATCATTCCGGGAAAAACCATGTGGGACTTTCCCTGACATCATGACCCTGTCACATGTCACACAATCGATTCCCAGAATTCGATTCGTCATCATTTCGCGGAAACCGAYGCTTTCATCTTCGTTCTGGGCGAAGATCTCGTMATTTTAACAGCTATTCTGAAATAGAAGCAATGGATTTCCGTTTGTTCAACTGTGATCGRACATATGACCTTGATAATGTAAAGGCACTGATCGTAAAAGTGTCTCCAAAAGCAAACGTTAAACAGCRCTACTTTCCACTGCCTCGCATGTCAGAGCTTTGCAATGAGTTAAACGAAGAAGGAACATTCTCTGGCTATGCTGTCTTTGTTGTTCATGCACATGAATCGAGGTTGTCKTTAAATGAAGTCAACGCKGGTATTGGATATGCAAAGTTATATCGGACTTTGCTCAAAATCACAGGTATGTTTAAACAACAAAGTTAACTTAAAAAAAGTAGTTTTATCTCTTGTAGAATGTCCAGGTATAGACTCTCATTTTTTACTCGCAATTGCGCAAAAATGAATAAAATATACAGTACGTATATAATAATATAAAAGTTAGGGGAGGGGAGGGTAAGTAAAAAATGGAACTTCAGTACTATGGAAAGTGATACATAGCAACATGTTAGGGATTAGGTCTATTTATGCGATATATAGCTTCGCCGTTTCCGGTTTCGTTTTTTTTAACCTACCCCTCCCTCCCCATGAATACAACACGTGATTCTGTTGAAAAAGTATCAAAACTTGAACGCAAATTTGTAGCTGCGTTAACAGTTGGTCGTAAAAGCAATCGATGACTGACAAACAAATAAGTAGACAAAGAAAAAACATTAATATTTGCCATGTAATCTTATGTCTGTTAAGACAGGGCTTGCACTGGGCGTCTGTACATGCGCACGAGTCATTTGTTATCTTCATGTCAACAGCTTTATAGAAATAACATTTTTATTTCGCTGTCTACAATATATTGACCTTTAATAAATTCTGCTGTACATACATAATTGATTTTTTCTTTTTTCTTTGTAATTTGAACTCAAAACATCACGGTTCAACTTAATCCAAAAATCAGAACTTTGCGTTTCCGTTTGACCGCAGCACTTTTATAAAGAGGGGGTTGGGTGAAGGGCTAACGATTGTAGTTTTTGTAATTCTGAATCCAATATAGTGGAATCCAGAAACCTTGCGAATTTTTGTGGCTTTTTTACCTTCTTTAAAGGAGGTATATAATTCAAGATTATTTGGCTTATTAATTTATGCATAAAGTTTGCATTTTCTACTCGCCAACTCGAGCACAACAATTGTTCGATGCCAAACATTCACAAATCTTCACAAATAAGAAATCATATGGATATATACATTTACAGAAGAACAATTATTTCAGTGGAATAAAACCATATTAAACCTCATCTGGAAAATATGGATGCCTTTTTTGCGTTCAAAGTCAAATCGCGTGACCATGTAACCTCCAACACCTGTATGTGTAGAAAGTCACACTCATTGTTCAATTTACAGAAAGTGTTTTTTTAAGGATTTGCGAAACTGTTAAGAAAAAAAGTATATATATTGAGACACAATGACAAGGCTTCACTAAGGACAAAACCAAACAATTTTCGCTACAAATAATGCATAAAATGCTAGAAATATAAGGCACTAGCCACATGCAGTCTTTGACTGCGTATTTTTTAATGCATGGAATCCAGAAAATCCAGGAACTTGTAATTCATGAGATTGGAATCCGTGATCCAGGAATGCTCCGGATTCTGTGTCTAGAGCGATTTGTCTGATTCAGGAACCCATCTTSTAAAGGTGTCGTGCGCTTWCAGGAGATTTAGCTTTTCTACTTAGTGGCATGGTTTTAACGTCAGTTGAACTATCCCATCTTATGAATTTGACCCAAAAGTTTAGCACAGGTATCTCAAAYGGTAACTAAGCTTGCTTTTCATAAATTTGAATTCTAGATGGTCGTGTTCTCATTGTAATTGGTGGAGATAACAACTACAAAGGACAAGAGCAAGACGATGCTTTCTTATCTCAATGGGCATGGCGAAAGATATGCTCTCAGTTTACCGAGGACTTCATGGATGGGACCAAAAGTTTTATATTTTCCTGGGACGAAGAGCACCGACCAATTCACGAGGAAGCCTTGGCTTTTTATCTCGACCCAATCCGTAAGACACAGGGAAAGTTTGTGCCAAAACCGAAGCCTAAAGCTACTGTAGTTCGCCGTTCAACGGCTGGACAGAAAGACACAACAACAGATCGACTAAAATCCTCCAATCAGCATCAACCACCGGAACATGGAGTTAATAAATCACATCCATTGGACGATAAAATTGGTTATGCCACTGGAACTGAGATGTTTCCACGAGAAAAGAACAAAAATCGAGACCTTCCTCCAGAACCATCAAAACAATCAGAAAATTTAAAAAAAGATGACGGCATGAAACCCCAGTTGTCTGGAACAAGTTTCATGGATGTTGACAAGGCTCCAGATTCAAAAAGTATGTCAAGTCAAAAACTGGTCTGTAGTCAGTGTTTTATAAAACCCTATATTTTTGGCATAATTGAAAAGGAATGAAAATTTAATACTACTAACATACGCTTTCATTGTAGCTGTACAAAGAAGGGCTTTTCCTATGGTCCATGTTGTTTCAATCCTGCCCAAAAACGACCAGAAAATCGACAACATCCTGAACAATCCAGTGATGAATCTTCTTGGCGATGTCTTTAAGTCTCTGTTCATCCCCTGGGGTCCTCATATACCAGATATCGAACCCCAGGATTTACCTAAACATGTCCAAGCCACTAGCCCGGATTTGGTTGTACTTGTATCTGAGTACGATGACTTTATCGATGTGACAAATCTGGAGCCTCAAATGAAACTATTCAGGAATTTGCTGACCAGTGTGAAGGATGAAGAAAGTAAGGGATTTATATTTTCTCAATAACTGTGAACACGAAGAAATGGAGAGACTGTCCTACTTATGGAAACAAGATATACATTGATATGTACACCTATTAAGGCGGMAAAGGACGAGATACAAAAACCATCAACTCGTTTTTCAACTTGGCACACAACAAAATCCTGCGAGTTGTGAGCTGCGAGTTGCGAGTTGAAAAAAGTTATTGCGCAAAGTCGTAGACTCTCGCTCTACTATCAGATACATTTTTTGGCTTTGTTTCTCGTTTTCCATCGAGATGAAACAAATCAACCAATCAGCGTTCCAATCATTTTTCCGCCTTAAGATAATTCTAGCGCAATACAGTATTTGTCATCCTCGAGAAACTAGCAGTAATCTGTTGTCAGTCTTTCCTGGCGTTGAACGAGCAACAGAAGAGCTAGGGTCCCCTAGAATGAACGGGTTTTTTGCATTTCACAATCGAAAGTTGGCATATCACATTTCAGAAAATGCGCTGTTACTCTTCAGTCGGTTGATTATGTAAAACTGTTTGCATTGATTTTAAAATTAGACATTTTCTATTCATTTAAGGCACTACACTAATCACAGTGGTGACTGGTGACCCATCATACAAAAGAGACGATCTGAGCTCAAGAGATGTCGAAAGGGAAGTTCAAAACATAAATGGAGGAATCTTGAAGCATGATAAGTTGAAAATCATGTCTTGGAACGCCTCTCCAAATCGCACTCATCGTGATGYCATTGAAAATTTACTGCGCGAGTACAAACCAAAAGAACGACAATTGAAGACAAGTGAATTGGTCTCCTCCGAATACGATGTCAAAAATGGGTTTTTAAAATGTAGGGCTGTTATTCAAGATGGGCGTGTACTTGCCATCCTAAAAAGTGATCCATGTGATTGGAGCCCAAGTGAAAAATTGCTCAATGATCTGAAGGCAGAACACCGAGAAAGGACGAAGGTTGAGTTTTGGGAGAATGATAGTGGTGTCGTTACAGTTACAGGTACAGTCGGATGCATCAGCACAGCACAACCTATGCTGCGAAAAATAGCGGAGAGTAAGTCTTTATCCTATTATAATATTTATCAGTGTAAATAAACTGAAATTGAAATTACATAACACTGTTATTATAACATCCATGGAATCCCAGGGTAATTAGGCGTCTGTCACTCGTTACTCTTACCCAGCGAGCGGCAGTAGAATGGCTCCCGAAGAAGACGAGAGAAGCACACATTACATGCAAAGCTTATTGCTATTTATRCACTGGGCACTTACAACTCCTCTAACATTGTTTTAGAACGTGAAAGGTTCACATTATAGTTAACAGTATTGACTTATTGACTTATTGTTATGATAGTCAGCCCTACAAAACAGAGACACTCTGCACAAGTTTACTCCTATCATTCCGATAAGAGAACCTTTGGCATTATGGACAACTTCATTAAATGGATTGCGACTGATGCCGGTCGCTGCAATCATTCAGTCGAACTTCAAGGGCTGCTTCAAGATGTTGTAGTAAAAAAGACAGAGTTGGTGGTGTTTTCTTGTGACATGGAAATTGCAAAAAACATCGAACGTCCTGAAGACTTTCCCCTCGACTACATGTCACATGCTTCTCGTGCTCTTGGTAAATATATAACATTACAGCTTTCACATTCACACTTATACTCCATTATTCCTCGTCTTATCAATTGACATTTTTCATGCTGTTTTATCATAAAATTATCTATGAAATGCCTATATTTCAAGTGCCGTCTACAAAAATGGCGGCAAATTTCACTTCATAAACTCAAAAGTTCAAATGATAAATAAAAAATGAGAGTTATTTTTGTTCAGCAAAAGGGGTGGGGCGGCCCCTTGGCCCCCCTAAATCCGCCCCTGTATTCATTCCGTTTCTTTTCATTATTGTAGGACATTTACAGTGGATAGTGATCGTACTTACTGGTGACGAAAGCTGTAAAGATGGAGATCTTGCATCGGAAAGCGCACTCCAGATACTCTCTTCCATTAACCAGCTGCTAGTGACTGTCGGATTCCCATCGGAGACAGAAAAGATAGCAGTGATGTCATGGCGAGACAGGCCGTACATTGAACATCAAAATAAGCTGAAAAATCTTCTGGCCAGATCTCAATCAGCACATAAAAAGCCAGCCAAGGAAACACCAATAGCTGGAAGAACGACTCGTGATCCAAACCCAAGCTCGGCCCATCGACAACAACCAAGAAAAGATGCTAGGGAAGTACCATTAGAAAAGATGACCGAGCCTACTTTTGACCCTGTTCATGGGTATTTAAGATACAGGGCAGATCTTGAATATGGCCGAGTCGTCAAGGTGATAGAGCGTAACCCTCCTGATTGGCAACCAGACATAAGAGATCTCCACTTTATAGCTGGACAAAATATGACTGTGCCTAACGCTCAACTTGAGTTCTGGGCTAACAGCTTGGATGGTCCCACCAAAGGGCCAATCGTGAGAACTCCAAAGAAGAGCTGGGTTCCGAGTTTGCCAAGTCTTCCGAAATCATGGCGCCCCTTCTGATTTGTAATATTAGTAAACTCAACCTGTAATATGCGGGATATTGTTTAACAACACATATCAATTACATAACTTAATTAGTTGTGCAGAGAATCAAAGGTGTGCCAAAAATACTATGTTTAATGTTACCAAAATGTCTTCATTAGCAAAATAGACGATATTTCAAGATACAATGATTGTGTTGTTGTTGTTGTTTTTATATACAGCAATATGCAGAAATATATCTTTTCGACTCAGTTATGAGTCATATTTCATGTATCGTGGCCAATATTTTTTTCAAAAAAGCGCTAGTGCTTGGTAACTTGAAGTTGAAAAAATATGAGCGATATCCCATAATTTCTGATATATTTTATATATACTTGGAATATGAGTCAAAATTATCATAATTTCTGCATATTGCTGTATTTATGGATATACAGATAGATAGTCATCTAAGAATCTAAGCCTCGATCCAATTCTCTTGAAAAAAAACTTTCAAATATTGCTTACAGGCACATAGATCAACAACGGAATTCTACTGCATGCAGCGAAGATTTCGGACGTTTACTTGATCAAATGCGTCCTTCGTTGAGACGCCATGACCCACGCACCATTTCGTATGCGGGACATTATCTCCACGTGTTTTTCACCAAGTCGATCGATGACTTACGGCGGGTCTATTCCCGTTGAAATTGTTAAAGTTTTGTAGTTATGAGCGAGTTTGCCTCAATCAGTTGGCCGTTGGTTCACAATCCCTTTTTGGCTAACCATTACCTCCCTTTGGGAGACATCGACGAGAAGGAAATGTGCCTGAATTGAAAGCTAATCAGTGTCACAAAGAGACCGTAGACTTTCACAGTGTGACACTAAAGCCTTTACTCTTCTCTCCTTCCCCTCCCCTCATTGTCATAGAAGGGCCATTGACGACGAGACAAGTTTATAATCATGTGTATGTCGAACAAAAATCAGGGATTTTTCCCGGAATCCGTGCTAAGAGTCACGCAATCGATTAGGGAAATTTCCCGGAAGAGCAGTCACGTTCAGGAGAATAGAAATTCTCAGAAGCTCCAAATTACAGTTTGTTTTTTCTCATGAGTCTGCAAAGCTGGAAATATCAACGTTGTGACCAGCTTTGCTGATCCAGACGAGATGAGCGATAAAAAGTCACTCAAGGAAACACCAAATGCTGGAAGAACGACTCATGATCCAAATTCGAACTCGGCCCATCAACAACAAGCAAGAAAGCCAGACAATGAAGTACCATTAGCAAATACGACCGAACCCAAGTTTGACCCTGTTCATGGGTATTTAAGATACAGGGCAGAGCTTGAATATGGCAAAGTCGTCAAGGTGCTTCAGCGTAACCCTTCTTATTGGAAAACAGACATAAGAGATCTCCACTTTATAGCTGGGAAGAATATGTCTGTGCCTAACGCTCTACTTGAGTTCTGGGCTCACAGCTTGGATGGTTCCACTAAAGCGCCAATCGTGAAAACTCCAAAGAAGGGCTGGTTTTCGAAATGGCTGTAATTCTGATTCGTAGTATTAGTAAACTCAACCTGTAATTATATGCGGGATATTATTTATCAACACATGTCAATTACATAACTTAATTAGTTAAATTTAAGGTGTACCAAAAATACTATGTTTAATGTTACCAAGTCTTAGCAAAATAAAAGAGATATTTCAAAAATATACTGATTGTGTTGTTGTTTTTATATACATGTATATTCATAAAAAAATTACATCATGAAAATTACATCATGGAAATGCAGTAGTTTGTTCTGTAATTTTCTATTTTATTTAATACAGCTCCGACTTTTATATTGTTGTTGAGCACTTTTTTAGTTTTTTGATGAAATTTTTCATATATACAGCCTTTTGCAAAAATTATGAGAATTGTTGAAATATCTAAATATCATAATATCGAGTGTATGATGGGCAATCTCGCGCGATGCCTTTAGTCCCTTGTCTTTGTAGTTTAGTTTTTTTTTTTGGCGACGGACTTATCCGTAGTTCTGAATATTTTCTCGATGTCAACAATGAATTATTCTAGCAAACCCGCGTGTTTCGGACAATATGTGGATATGGATATTATGATATTTAGATATTTAGACAATTCTCATAATTTTTGCAAAAGGCTGTATACATGTATATTCATATATATATTTATATTTATACAACTTTTCAGTAAAATCAGACGTTTTGATTGGTTGGCTTTCGTGTGTTATCAAAGTATAGATACACGGATTACGTCAAAACTAATTGTTTGTTGTATAAAACAGATAGATCTCATTTTTCCGTGCGTGTGTACTCTAATAGATACACAGATGACGTCAAAATGTAGTGAGAACAACAGTCACGCACTCGACTGCGTCTCGTGCGTACTTTTTTGTTCTCACTACATTTTGACGTCATCTGTGTATCTATTAGAGTACACACGCACGGAAAAATGAGATCTATTTGTTAAATAATGTACATAAAATACTGAGCTAAACGCTTYGAATATGATCCATTGATTTATTGCTACAGACCTGTTTCGTATGGTTTTGACCCACACTCATCAGGGAATTAATATACAAGGAATGACCGTTAAATATCCTATATGCTGGTAATTTGAAAGAAGATATGGTTGCTAGGTTTCAGTGTTCCCTGGTCCGCGAGCGTCCTGTGTCAACAAAAGGCGGCCAAGAAGTATACGAACCGGGTATACGAACAACAACTTACTTCATCAAATAGCTTTTGAAAAACAGCTTTGGTATGTAAGAAATAATTCTAGGATATAAAAATAAAAATGCGAGGGCTTATCAAGCTTAAATTTTAATGTATTTCGCAAACTACAGTTTCGCAAACTACAGATTGATTTTGCAAACTACAGTTTCGCAAACTACAGATTTAGTTTTCTTCGCAAACTAACATCAGTCTTCACAATCCATTTTCTGCTATCCACTGAACACCCTTTATGAGATCTCAACGAGAAGGAACTCGGAATGAATAGCCGACTTGCGAATTACGCATCAATAGTCACATACAAAGGAATCAAGACGAGGCGCCGTGCTTTTTTGTGAAAAATCTATTGTCTTTAGCACGGCGCCTCGTCTTGATTCCTTTGTATGTGACTATTGATGCGTAATTCGCAAGTCGGCTATTGCAAGCTAACCAATTCATCGTTTTCACCCGTTCCCATGAGATTCAAAAGATAACACCGGCGGCCAATGAACAATAGATACTAAATAGGAAATCCTTTGTAAAGTTCCTCCAAGATGGCAGATGTGTGACGTAGCCTGAAACCTAAAAGACCGTACACTTTCAAAGTGTGACTGAAGCTTTCACTCTTCTCTTCCTCTCCTCATTCTCCTAGAGGAGCCCGAGTGACGACGAGACAAGTTTATAATCACACGTTTATGTCGAACAACAACACGCAATCGATCAGGGCAATTTCCCCGAAGAGCAGTCGCGTTCAGGAGAATAGAAATTCTCAGAAGCTTCAGAACTTTCCAGAATCTCCATATTATTAAAAAACCGAATTAAGTTCAAATATTGTTTGAACTATTGTTGAGGGATAGATCAACAACAGGTGCATGCAGCGAAAATCACAATGAGGGAAATTTCGCGGAAGAGCAGCATCAGTTCAGGAGAATAGAAATTCTCAGAAGCTAAAGAGCTGTCCAGAAGCTCCATATTGCAGTGAAATCAAAGGATAAGTTTTTTGTCATGAGTCTTCTAAATGCCAACACGATGTCAATGGAAGAAATGAAATCCAAACTTCTAAACTATAAAGCTGGAGATATTCACGGTGTGACCAGCTTTAGGGATGCTGATCCAGACGAGATGAGCGATTTTCATATTCGTATTGGCGTTTTTGGGCCCACTGGATCCGGCAAATCAGCTCTTATTAATACAGTTTCCAAAATACTACGTGGTGCAGGGGAAGAAGTGGCTATTTCTCAGTCCGCTGGAGGCGAGGGAACGCGAGTACTCGACGAAATCACTTTCGGGGGCTTTTCGATGTTCGATACTCGAGGTTTCTTTGATATCGAGTCTCGACTTGAAGAGAGTAAGTAATATCATCAAATCATAAAAAGCAACAATAAATAATCAGGCAAAAGAAATATGTAATAGCGATAGGAAAGTAGGAAGGAGAGCGAGGGATTGTTTAGTGAACAAAAGAAATAACCGGGATTCCTGTGGCTTTACGCATGCTGGATTTTCGTAACGCACTGTCCGTATCTGAATTAGTGAAACGAGTATTCTTTCAGAGCTTTGCACAAATTATTTAGTTAATTTAATTTAATTTATTTTAATTTATTTTATTTAATGTTTTAATTATTCAATTTATTAAATTATAATATAAGTCATGTTTTCAATAATCTTAATTTTCTCTTTCAGCTGAATTCTTTCGTATTTTGTACGGAAGCGTGAGGCCTGGAGAAGAAATTGACCGCGGTGCAACGGGAGCTCAAAAGACGAAATCCGTAGGGATCGCTGCCCACAAGCTCAACAAACCTCCCCTGAAAAAACAGCTACATGTTGTGTTATGGATCATCAAAGGAGATGACATACGTCTTATTACCGAACAATATCAAGACAAACTGAACTTTATACTCAGTAAACTCAGAGATGAAGGTAATATAGAAAACATTTCACGTAAAAAAATTAAGTGAATTTGATTTAGTTAGTCATTAGAATAGTGGGATGGGGAGAGGGGTGGTGATTAAAACTGACTTTCAATTAGTTCAATTAGTTGACTTTATTAATTAGTTACCCTTGTGTCAATAATGTTATTTTTCCTGAGAATCATTAGAAATGTGGTCTGGAGAAGGGGGTGATCATCAAAACAGACTTTCAAATTCAGAGATCAGAGAGATTTTGATTCAAGCGAAACTTAGTAAAAAAACAAATAACAAAAAAATAACTATATAGAATATGATAGATGAACTAACAAATAATACATGCCTGAAAGTTCCCAAGCTCTACCTCCTCCGTTCGGTTTTCTAATGGTAAGTGGTACTTTTTATTTATGCAGCCATCACCATGGTTACAGTTATAACACATGGTGACGTAATAAGCCAAATGTACAATGCGGAGGAATTTCAGGAAAACATTAGAAGTCAAGCTCTTCAGGCTACCAAAACCTGCGAGGACCATGCCTTTGTCGTTCAAAACTGGACTGAGAATGTGGATCAACTTGAGGAACCCGCAGTGAAAGAAGTTTTGAAAATGATTCTTACTGCTTTGGATTGCGGGGAACGGTCCGTGAAAATGCGTCAAACTAAAAGAAAACGGCTGGAATTGCAAATGAAAGGAGAGAGAGGTACAGCAGCTGAGTCTTAAAAGGAGCAAAATCCCAGAGATCACTACTAATTCTATTATATATGTGTTGGGGGAGGGAAGGGTATGGACCTAGACCTCATAGTATGCTGATATATAGCAATGTTTTAGGGATTAGGTCTATTTGGGACGAAGAGCACCGACCAATTCACGATGAAGTCTTGGATTTTTACCTCGACCCAAACCGCAAGACACTGGGGAAGTTTGTGCCAAAACCGATGCCTAAAGCTACTGTTAGAGTTCGCCGAACTGTTGGACAGAAAGACACAAAAACAGATCGACCCAAAACCTTCAATCAGCAGCAACCACTGGCACATGGAGTTAAAAAATCACATCCATTGGACGATAAAACTGGTTATGCCACTGGAACTGAGATGCTTCCACGAGAAAAGAACAAAAATCGAGACCTTCCTCCAGCACCACTTCCTACAGAACCATCAAAACAATCAGAAAATTTAAAAAAAGATGACGGCATGAAACCCAAGTTGTCTGGAACAAGTTTCATGGATGTTGACAAGTCTTCAGATCATCCAAAAGGTATGTCAAGTCAAAAACTGGTCTGTAGTCAATGGTTTATAAAACCCTATATTTTTGGCTAAGTGTGGATAGTTCAGTCAACAGGCATACTATTCAAAAGGAATGAAAATTTAATACTACTAACATGCGCTTTCATTGTAGCCGTACAAAGAAGGGCTTTTCCTATGGTCCATGTTGTTTCATTCCTGCCCAAAAGCGACCAGAAAATCGACAACATCCTGAACAATCAAGTAATGAATCTTCTTGGCGATGTCTTTAAGTCTCTTTTCATCCCCTGGGGTCCTCATATACCAGACATCGAACTTAAGGATTTACCTGAACATGTCCAAGC